AGAATTAAATGAAGATCAAAGGAAAGGCTAATGAAGTTTTCAGAATCAATAGGCAAATACTTTGCCTAAACATTTTGATATAGTATGTAGTTCAAGTAGTAACCCTATACAGGATGTTCAGACTTAGTATTTAATAATACTGAGTGACGATTGACTTCTATCACATCCTTATGGAAGTTCCATTGTGTGTTAAGCCGACTTTAACATACATGATTAGGATGGTGAATTAAGTCATTTAGTGGTAAAAGGCTAAGTAACTTACTTGTCTAAGTAAGGTAGAATGCTTAGTTGAAGAAGGAATACACCCATAGTATTGTATGAGAAGAGATGTTGTAATTAGGAATGACAGAGAACCAAGTTGAAGCTATTAGAACATGCTGAGATGCATTTATAATGCGGACTTCTTAGAAGAGACTCCTATGAAGTAGACTTAAAAGATACACTCATGAGAAGAAGACTTACTCATATACAGGAATGACGATGTCATGGAAGGATAATGAAATGAACAAATGTGCATGGTGACTTGCATGCGTTAGAAGATGATGCAGATAGTTAGAGACCGTTTGTCTCCACACTACTAGAGTAAATTCTGGCATAGTGTGTCTTGCAAAGTAGATACTACCCGAGAAAGAATTTATATGAAGAATTGGAAGTAAAATTTCTATCGACCTATGAAAAAGTATTAGGATATGCTAGATCGAACATATGCATGAGAAGAATCTTAGAAGGCGAGTATAAGAAATCTAAGATATGTTTGATAGAAACGTGAAATCCCTAGTTGAGTCTAGGAGAAATTGTTCTATGTACTTGTTTGAACACACTCAGGTGTGAAAAGTTGTTTTGTGAAAACTTTTGAATGGTGACTTGGGAACTGCGAGACAATACTTGGGACGAGTATGAGTAGGTGTGAATAGTAGTAGAGGCCTATACTACTGGAAGCACATAACTCACACTTGGATCAGGGAAAGTCACAAGGTGACCAAGAAGCTAGAAGATTGATTCTGTTTTTGTTCGAGTATGTCATTACCTTCGTTCCGGTGATGACTAAGAAGATGATTTTTGTTCAGACCTTATTGGTCATAAAGAATCGAGTCCAATTAATATAAATCTGCAAAGTGAGTTGATTGGTTCAGAGAACCATGTCTTGTGTAGTGATGAAATTTCAGTCAGAAGATTGAAGAAGGAGATCGTGAACGAAAGAACGATTGATCTACGTAATAAAGAAGTAGAGTTAGTGCTTATTAAGTGGAAACATCATCGAGGCCGAAATTATACTTGGGAAAGTAAGAATGAGATAAGAACAAAATATCCCCAGTTATTTAAATCGATGTGTTTTCGGGGACGAAATCCTCAAAATGAGAAGGTATTTGTAACATACACGTTCAATTATCGTGTTTTGTTAGTTTAAAAATAAATAATATTATGAAATATTATATGATATTAAGTGTTGAGTTCTAACAAGATAGTTTTTACGAGATTTGATGTAAAACTATGTTTAGAATCATTCAGAAAGTATTGGAAGTCTTATGGGATTCCAATCAATAGTCAAATATCGAAATTAACGAAAATATAAAGTTAGAAATAAGTAAAAATAATGCTATTGAAAGTTGTAAAGAATCTCGTTAGAAACGTTTAGGCGAAAACCTCATCGAAATCCGAGTTATAACGAAGAAGTTATGACTTATTGAAGTTTCAAGACAGAACCGACACGACGCCGTATGACGTAAAAAGTGAGTTTTCAATAAACTACTTTTTGGCTTTAGTGATCTAAATGAAAGTCGTAGTATTCGTTAAACCGAGAATTTCCATAAAAAGAACGTCCAAATCTGACTTCGTATGAGGAAGTTATGATTTTTCTAAGTTTCGCAATAGAAGTAGACAGCTAAAAACTCGAAATAAAGATCGAGTGATTTTTAGCCGACGCAACCTAAACGAGAATCGAAGGTCTCGTCAATAGTAGTACAACGGTAAAAAGACAGACGAAAACAGACATCGGATGAAGAAGTTATGAATTTTTAACAGACTTTTCCTGTCCCGGCCCGTTAAAAATATAACATTAGAAATGAACTCAAAATTAGCCGACGAAGTCTAAATGAAAGTTGTAGAGCATAATCTCACCTACCCGTGGATATAAAGAACGTCAAAAACGGAGTTCGTATGCGAAAGATATGGATTTTTGAAGTTCGGAGCACAAACTTCGAGACCTGACTGCGTTCACGACGTGAACATAGCATTCACGACGTGAACTTGTTGAACGATACCTTTCGAGCCTAGAAGACGCACGACAAGCCTAGGGGATGACCGGGATCAAACTCACGACGTGAACATACATGGTTCACGTCGTGAACCTCAAATTTTGACCTATAAATAGAGGGCCAGCCCTCTTACTTCCGTTTACGCAAAAACGCAACCATCTCTCTCGTATTTCTGATTTTGAGCTATTTTACCGAGCCGACGATCGCTAGCTGCTGACAGTGTTTAGTCAAATTCTACCGGTAAAAGCGCTATTTAGGGGTAATTTCAACGCAACATTCAGTTATTTTATGGGTAGTTCAATATATAGGAACAATTGTATGTTATGTGTTATATGTGCTATGTGCTTTTCCGTGTTATCATCTCGTGTTATTATTTCCGCTATTATGGTAGCAAAGTTGTACCTTTGACCATGTGATCAGTGAAAGGACTTAGATTCACGGTGGTACTGGTATGTAGCCTCTGGCCATGTAGAGCATGTCTCGTAAGAGAATGACTTCTATTATATGACATTGGCAAAAGGTTAGATAGGGCTAAAAGCCTGAAATCTACCAAAATGTTTAATCAGAAATCATATGTCTTCTGTGCCATTTGTGCCATTTGTGCCAAAGTGTTATTGATGTATATCAAGTATTGAAATTGTTATGTCTCATTGATTGTATATCATTGAATCAAATCATCGATTGATATGGAAAGCTTGTCGCATTTCACATATGCCTTTGTTGTTCCTTGTACCCCTTTGCTTCTGCCATATTAAGGTATATATATGGCATAACGTTATATTGTATCTATTATTGAACTCACTAAGCGTCACCGCTTACCCCTCTCAGTGTTTAACAATTGCAGGTAATGAGAATCCAGTATAGTCATATACTGTTGGAAGATTTAGAATAGTTTATACTATTACTTTTGTACTTGGGTTTATGTTGTATAAAAATTATAATATCCTGGTAGTTATGTAATATACTGAAACTTAGTCGGTTTGTAATTGTATCCAGTATTTTGTAATGACACTATCAATGTAAAATATTATTTATAAATATGCATGTAGCATGTTTTGGAGTAACAATATTGTGAAGTTTGAAAGTTTGGGTCTTTCAGAAATACGAAAGTTAGGGTCTTTCAGTAATATATCGAATTTAAACAAACATGTTATGTAAATTTTAACATGTTAATAATCTATAAAAATCAATTTAAAAAATAACAATAAAACAATCATTTAATAAATAAACAGGTAGAATAAAATCAAAAGAACAATAAAATTAAGATTACCTTTAATAAAGATAACCAGACAATTAATGAGGATATTTTGAGTTTTTGTGCATTTATGCACAGAGAGAACCTACACGAAGAAGAAGAAGTTCGCATTTACAAACAAAAACCCTCAAAGGATATAGCTAGCTTTTAATTGATGCGTTTTTCAAAATATCGCATCAAAAAATCGAAATTTAATGATGCGTTTTATAAAATAAAAGCACCAAAAAATCATAATAATGGTGCGTTTACAACAAGTCGCATCAAAAAATCGTTTTTAATGCTATTTTTTTAACCACATTAACAAATTTGTCGAAGGATATTTTTTAGTACTCTTTTAATGCGGTTTGCGTATTTTTTGATGTTGTAGGCATTTAATGAGGCGGTTTTTATATACAACCGCCTAAAAAAAACATTAGCAGTATTAAAACTCTTCTGTACTAGTGACATGTGCAATAAAAAGATGAAGATGATGTAAAAACTAGCATAAGTAGTAACTAGGAATAGCAAGAAGAAGTAAAGAAGCGGGAGGGAAAGTCGGTCATAAAAAATGTTAGGAAAAAGAGGATTAAATGGAAGAGAAGGACCATAAAAGGAGTCCTAATTAGAATCCCTAAAATACCATAACCAACACTTTTGAAAACAAAAAGAGAAATGGCAAGAAAGACAACAGTTTCTATTAATATAGCATCATATGAACATAAAGACGCAAGAGTAGTGACCCAAAAGACAAAGGAGAAGGATAGATGCAAGAAACCAATGAACACGAGGAAGATAAAGCATGTAAAATAAATAAGATTGAAAAAATAAATGGATGATGACAGCACAACTGATCTGTTGATTTTGAAGGCCCTATGTGAAAAATAAAAAAATACCCCTAAATGTAATTTTTTATATAAGAAAAATCAATGATAAGTCGATAATTTTTATAGAATTAATCAAAATAAAAATTGCTAGTGATTCGTTACTAAGAACATCTACAATGAAGAGTTTAATGAAAGAGTTGAAATGAGAAAGTTGAATAAAATGATAAAATTAGTTGTCATCTAATTGATAAAATTCTATCATTATCAAAGTCATATTCACATTCAATGATTTTGGATTTCAATGAACATTGTACTATTCAATGCATAATAGATAAAAAATAATAGAATTATATAGAATATAAAATGATAATGTTTGAACTCTATATAATTCTAAGAATGCCATAATCTGTCACTATTTTGTCGCTATACTAATGCGCGTACACAATTATGAGCCCACACGAACCTTGTACATGTATACACACACCCCATAAATGCCAAGCCGACACTTGATGACATAGATGAAGATGATGATGTAATGCTATCCTTAATGGACATTAGAATTAATTGATATTCTTGTATTTTTAATTATTACTTACTATTCAATAAAGATCGGCTAGAATTAAGCCATTTTCACAATCCTTTAATTTACATGTAAAAGAATCATATAACAATCATCAAATGGTACAGTTAGATACCTACGATCAACTCCACGTCTCCATCTTCTTTATTTTTTACAGGCTCTTCCAGTGGCTTATAAGTATAAAACCATGCGCATGTAAAATAATAAAAAAGGTTTAAAACTTGAATCCCACTTACTAACATGTAGTAATATTCCAATCTACCTCTGTTCAAATTCCGATCAGGCAGCCAATTTCTGCCATTTTTATTAGTGCACTTATGAACCATGGTCACCATTAATGTCCCTGCATATTGTCCAAGAGCAACAGCACTCCAGTAAAGAGCCAACGCCGTGCTTTTCATACTTTCTGGCGACTGACCATAAAGAAACTCAAGTTTACCAACGTTAAACATCGCTTCAGCCACACCATGAAGTGAATACTGGGGAATTAACCAAAACACACTTATGGGTATGGTTTCAGTTGGCTTGTCGAGCAAGTTATGATCCCTCGCTGCTTGTTTTCTTTTTACTTCCACAAAAAATGCAACGAACGTTGCAAAAATGTTTATGACGAATCCCACGCCGATTCTTTGTAAACATGTGATTCCTGAAGGGTTTTTTGTGAAGCGATATGCAAAGGGGACAAATACACGGTCGTATAAGGCTAGGGTTACAAGGGTAGCGAGGACACCAAAGACAGCCATGCTCGCCGGAGGTATTTGCAATGAGGCGGAGAGGTGGCGGTCCATGGTGCGAGCTTGTGTGAGGGTGAAGCTACCTTGGTGGGAATACGCCATCACATATATTATTCCTGTTGATATGATTGGCAACAAGCGAATCATGGACTTTAGTTCTTCGACTCTATGTACAGTAGCGATTTGCCAGAGATTTGGCAAGTTTGAAAAGTCGGTGTCTTTCTCGGTAATTATGGCAGCTTTATCAAACCACCTTTAACAATATAACAAAAATAATCAATCAATTTAATAAGATGCAAGGAATTTTTCGACATATAGCTATCTTACCTCAATTGATTGGTATGAACAAGTCGTCCATCCTTAGAGATACTCGCATCAAGCTCTTTGTTTTCATAAAGAAGAGTATCATCAGTTAGAACCCCGGACTTCCTTTTCTTTACTGCAGCAGCTATCACTTGAGCAAGTCTAACAAATGGGCTTCCTTCTGGTTTTATTTTCTGATATAGTGAAGAGCCTACTAAAAATGCTATGAACGCAATACCCATTGCTATCGTTGGAATACCAAGTCCCCAACCCCAACTCACACTATCTTGGATGTACACAACCACCGTAAGAGCAGATAGACTTGCTAGCGACAAGAAAAAGTAGTACCAGTTGAAGAAATTCCAGGTTGTTTTCGCTTGAGTTTTCAATTTGGATATGTCAAGTTGATCTGCAGCAAACGCAACGACACAAGGTCTCGTGCCTCCTAACCCGATTGAAGTGAGGAGGAGGGAGATATAAAGCACCTATAGTTGAGATGATGACGCTTCCTGGCAGTTGACTTGTGTCGGACATTGTGGTGGCCGGAACTGAGGCAAGACTGCTGATATTGTAATGATGATCATTCCCTGCAACATATGAAGCTATGTGTTTAGATTTCATTCATTTGTGTAATAATTAGTAGCTAGGTGGTGTACGGATTGATAGGAAATGAACCAGCTCGTAAATGAGCAAGGCAATGATGATGGTCCAGTAACGACCGGCGAAAGAGTCGGCGACGAGTGCACCGATGATGGGCATTAAACTTGACAGGCCGCCGAAGTTAGTGAGTGTGTTGGATGCGTTAACCAATGGCATGTTGAGTTGTTGGGTCAAGTATGTTAGTAAATTGGCTTGGAAACCAGTTGCAGCGAATCTGTCACATATCTCATTTGCTGTGAAATCGATCAACAAGAGATTCATCAGTACATCTTGTACACAATACGATTTATGGTGTCCATTGTCAAATTCGACAATTTTCGTTGGTAATTACCATTTTGCCCATTTTGCCCTTTTGTCCAAGTGTTGACTAAACGATAAATATTTGATCCAAGTAATAACTATTTAATTTCTTAAATATATGATATAAGTAATAAGTAAGATGTAGGAATTAACTATCGACTATTTATTTACCAAATTTTGTGTTCATCACCATGCAATAAATAATGAAATTAAGTAGCTTTTTACTACTTTTTGTTCACCAACAATACTTCATCAAAGAAAATAAAAATAAAACAATTTCTGACATAAATATGTATGTACCGAATGTAAATTATAAATTAACGTAAATATTCAAAAAGATATTTGAGAAATGAATAACGGGAAATGGAATGATATAAAATGAGGTCACATTTATGAAAAAGTAACACTTAATAAGAGACTTTTCTTTTATTGAATTTCCCATTAAGTTGTTTTTTACAACTAAATCAGAAATAAACATTTGTATATAATTTGCAGATCAAATCATGTGTTCATTGATTTATTAAGTAAAAAATACTAACACATTTCATTAATTCAATATTCAAACTTAAACTTATGTTGTCAAATAAGTTACAATTAAGGGTGAGTTATATGCCAAACATATGTTACTCGCGCCATGAGCAACAAACCTTTCACAGGAAGCTCTAATGAAATAGTAGTCGGGTTTGAACATACATACCGAGGATAAAGGGCATGGTTTTGATCCCACCAAGCTTCTTTTGCTTTACCACTTTCATACTTTCGGCACCTTCTATGTTCTCATTCTTTGGTTCCATCTTACTGATGTTTTTGAGTGATATGAAGCTTTCACCAATGGCTGATTCACACAAAAATATGCACGTACACTGGCTATAATATTATTAGGCTTGTTGTGGTCTTGAATCTTGATCACGATATAAACCATTTTATTGGCCAACTTTAGGTAGCCAAGACTTCTCAAAACTTTTTAGAGTTTAAACAAAAGCAAGACAATGTTAACAGCTCCATCTTGACTTTCAGTTTTTGGGATTTTGTGGGTATGGTTTCGTGATAATCGCAATGTGCACAATTCGCGCTTTTGATCACCATGTTGGGGTAAATATATGATTTTTATGTAGAAATTGCTTATTGTAATCGTGATATTCGTTCCTTACTAATTAATATTTTTTTAGAACGACAAATCTAATTTATTTTGAAACTACTTCTAATTTGACCTATGTCCTCAACGAGATTTGAATCCTCGGACGGAGGAGGACAACACTTGATACCATTATGTAAACTTAATTTTAAAGCAAACAAAAGTAAAAAACAATACAATTTTGTTAGAAAGACTGAGTTAAATATTGCTTTTTCATATATCATAGTAATTACCTCGACCACTTCTCCCAGTTGTTGGTTGTTTGAGTTCCAATCTGAAAAGTCCCTAGTAGAGATCAAGAATCTTTTGGATAAACCAATGAATTATAGTATTTGACGAGAAAGTTTTTAACAAAAACTTTATTATTTCTATAATATTTTGTACTTTATTTAAAAGGATAATACCTTAAAGACTTTATAATACTGTAGTACTTTGATATGTGACTTAAAGGGTCACAACATAATGTTGACGTAACATATGCAGTAACATCAAATTGCTAGTATGTTATTAGAAAACGGTTTTACATGTCATAATAAGTTATGCATTGTCATTAGTCACAGATATGAAGATAAGTAAATAGTAGTTAAAAACAAGATAAAGTATTATAAAGTCACTACTTGGATTATTCGTACATCATAGGTTTGAAACTTACACATTGATCGATACTTATGTTTTCGTTTTTTGTTAATATATTTGTACTTGTCTTGGCTAAGCTATTAGAAAATAGGGTACGAAACTGAATTAGAATCTGGATGCTTTGATTTATCGTGCATGGTCATTCTTCTTGATAGTGTTTTCTTGTATATTATGTGGTTATCATGAAATTCAATCCAGAACATTCATTTAAAATCACTTTCAATCTTGACATAAATCTGTTGGATTGTGGATACCCCGTATAGGGATACATATGTATTGTAAACATTAACATTTTCCAAATGTTATTACACTGTAGGTAAGAGCACATCAACCTACAGTGTTATTACACTGTGCTTCAAAGAGTCAAACGCTGCTTCATACAGTTCACGATCTCAAACCAATTACCACCATCGTCATACCGCAACTTCTACCTCTACTTGCACACCACTTGCTCGATCCGTTCTCTGCACGAGTAGCTCAATCTCTTCTCTCAATTTCTATGTCTCAAGCCAATTACCACCATCGTCACATCTACCTCCACCTGCGCGCCACTTGCTGGAACTGTTCTCTGCACTGGTTGCTCTATCTCTTCTCTCTATTTCTATGACCTCATAGCTGTCAGCCACACCTCACCCATCATAAGGTATTTTCTTCTTTGACATCTTTTGAGCATCTTCAAAGATTTTTTTGGGTCATTTTCCTTTCCTTCTATGTTCCCATGTCAGAATTCTGTGCTCATATGACAGAAAAAAAAACATGGGAATAAATTAGGGCTAAAGTTTCCATGCTATTCTATTGAGTCTGTATCAGAATTCTATGTTCGTATGATAGAAAACCATGAGCAGAAATTAGGGCTAAAGTTCCCATGGTATTATGTTGATTCTATAATTTAGGGCTTAAGTAAAAGTAGACCAGCAATAAACAAATTTAGTAAAAAAAACTATTGTGGCCTTCAATCACCACAATCTGTTCATCTTCACAGTTCCATTCTTGCAATCGACTTTCGGCTTCAGGGGTCATAAGAGAAGCAAGCAGGACAGTGGTCTGAATGGAGCTCCCAAGACAGCAAGACAAAGGTAAAAATTCCTCATTTTAGTTTATTCTTCACAGATTCATTAATCTCAGTTCCCGATTATTAATTAAATGCCTTAATTTCTCTTTCTCCCTGAATAACATATTGAAAGTGTACTTATATAATCCATTTTTCCTTTAATAAACAAAAATACCAGTTTTGTTTCTTTGCTTGCTGCCATAATGCATTTTTCCTTTGGTAAACAAAAAAAATATTAGCATCAAAGTTTGAACAATTGTTAAATTTGATTTTTATTATGTTACATGTAAATGATTTAATGCCCATGTCTGCATTCTTAGCCATTAAATGATTGTTTCAGGTTCCTTATATTGTTATCTGTTGCTTTAGTTCTATTTCCTACCTTTGGATTTCAAAAAGGTACCCTCTAAGCCGTGTTATGTATAATGTGTTGTTTTCATCGCTTATTTAGCTTGGCCTTTTTTCTTTACTAACTGATTTGTTTTTGCTATATCTTGATGCCTCTATCTTATATTGTTATGATTTTCCATTATATTAAAAGCCAACTTATTTCTTTCGCCGATTCGTTTCACAACAATATGCAACGAAAAAAGAAAAAGCTTAATCATAATGATGAACATCCACTTGAAAATTATGTTTCTTCTCCACAATCCAGCCCACATGCTTTTTCTGATAGCCCATCGAGTTCTAAATCTACAAAAAATCGTGTGTCAAAAAGGCTTATGTGTACAAAACTTTCGGTATTCAAGGACTCTCATATTTCAACACCTCATGTCCAACAACCTCACAATTCTCAATCTTTTGGTTCATGTGACTAACAGAATCAATGGTATGTCTAAAAAAAATCCGTCTGGGGTTTCTCATGTGTATACATGATATGTTCGCCACCTGCTTAAGCATGACTCAGATGTTATTAACTATGTTGTTTGTCATGTTTTCCAGGTCCATCTACTGCATATTTGGATTTGGGTGATTGTGACCAAATCTGCGAGCATTGTTATGCATGCTTCTGGTATGCTGAACGACGGAAAGGTCTTCCCGAAAATCAAAGACCTAAATATAGTCGTTGTTGCAAAGGCGGTCGGGTAATGTTGCCGCTACCAAGGCAGCCTCCAGAGATAATTAAAGAACTCTTTAAAGATAAGCACTTTATGGAAAACATCCGTGCTTATAACATGATGTTCGCCATGACTTCGTTCGGGGCAAAAGTGGATGATTCAGTTAATAATGGGTCAGGGCCTTATGTATTCAAGGTAGAAGGGCAGATTTCTCATTGGATGGGATCTTTGTGTCCACCAACTGATGGTAATCCAAGGTTCTTGCAAATGTATATCTATGATACTAATAATGAAGTTTGCAACAGACTTCGTCATTTTAGTGGCTCTGAATGTGGCGATCTAAAACCAGAAATTGTCAAGACTTTGATTGACATTTTCGACAAAATCAATGATTTAGTCAAGCTATTCAGAACAGCTAGAGATATATGTCTTCACGAACAACCTCAAGAGTTCATGGTCAGGTTATATAATAGTGGAAACCAAATGCGCTATAATGCTCCTACTCTGGGTGTGCTAGGCGGAATTGTTTATGACAGCGGGTCTACATGTAAAAATGATTTTGACATAATAATCCGCATGAGAGATGGGCGGCCTCGAAGAATAAATAAGTTGCATCCTTTGTATATGGCGTTGCAGTTCCCGTTACTGTTTGTTTTTGGTGAGCATGGTTGGTCGATCGAGCTTAAGCAAGTAAATGATGGATGTATAGGTGATAAGCAACTGACGATGAATATGTTTTACAGCTTTCAACTACATGATCGGTTCAACATATATGCATTGTTACCTAGAGGAGGCAGGTTGTTCCAACAGTTTTTAGTTAATGCATATATATCTATTGAGCAAAATAGATTGGATTACATTGAATCAATGCAAGATGTTTTTAGGACCGAGTACCTTCAGGGCGTTCATGATGCGTGATTGAAAGGTGATTCTGATGGCCATGATGTCGGGAAAAGGACAATATTGCCCGCGTCTTTTACTGGCGGTCCTAGATATATGTACAAGCATTATTAGGATGCCCTTGCTATATGTAGAGTACATGGAAATCCTCAATATTTTATAACATACACTTGCAATGTTAAATGGCCAGAGATTTCAAGATATCTAGCACAATATCCTGGAATGAAGGCTGAGGACAGGGCTGATATTATTGCTAGAATATTCGAGATGAAGGTTAAGGATTTTATTCACTATTTGAAAAATGAAAAACCTTTCGGATAGGTTGTAGCAGGTAATGTCATTATTAACTGGCATATTGTTCATCCATTACAATATATTGTCTCAAAATCTTATATCCTTATCTTATGTTTTTTTTTCTTATGCATGCAGAGCTGTATACTATAGAATTCCAAAAAAGAGGCATGCCCCATTACCATACTCTCCTGTGGGTGTCACCTCCATATAAAATTCATACCCCAGAACAGCTTGATCAGTTTATTTCTGCTGAAATCCCTGATCCAGTCGTTGATCCTCAACTCTACAAGATTGTCACCGAGCTTATGATGCATGGACCATGCGGTCTTGCAAAGATGAAAGCACCATGCATGTTTGATGGGGTCTGTTCAAAGCATTTTCCAAAAAAATATGAAGATGTCACACGGTTTGATAAGGATGGGTATGTTCATTATAAGAGAAGAAATGATGGGTGCTTTGCAGTGAAATATGGAATCAACCTAGATAATGGATATGTTGTCCCATACAACAAAAATCTTTCTCTGGTTTTTCAGGCTCATATCAATGTTGAATATTGTGGTTGGAGTATGATGATTAAATACTTATTCAAATACATTTCCAAAGGAGCTGACCGTATTAGAGCCAAAATTACTAAATCTCTAGGCGAGCCTTCTGATAAAGTTGATAAAAAAACGAGCAACATCAATGAGATACAAAACTTTGTAGATGCTAGATTCATTTGCCCTCATGAGGCAGCTTGGAGGATATTCGACTTTCACATCCATCATCGAAATCCTGCCATGCAAGTGCTTGCAGTTCATTTGGAAAACATGCAAACAGTTACGTTTAAGGACAAACAACTGTTACAAGATGTTGTTGATGATCCAATGATAAAGAAAACAACTCTTACACAATGGCTAAAAAACAATCAGATTGATGATAGCGGTCATCATCTTACTTATCTTGATTATCTATCAAAATATAAATGGATTGCTCGAGGGAAGGACTGGTGTCGTAGAAAGTCAAAGAAGACGCCTCCTATTGGAAGATTAATCTATATTCATCCAACATGTGGTGAGCTCTTTTATCTAAGGATGCTTCTCAGTCACCAGGTTGGATGTCAGACATTTAATGATATCAAGACAGTAGGCGATGTCATATTTCCAACCTATCGTGCTGCATGCGAACAATTGGGGCTGCTTGGTGATGACAAAGAATGGACATATGCATTCGATGATGCTTCTAGCTGGGCAACTGCTGAAGAACTCAGATCCCTGTTTGCTCACATGCTTATATTTTGTGATGTTGCAGATCCTCTTGCTCTATGGACAAAACAATGGCGGCGAATGAGTGATGATATAGTCCAAAGAGCAGCTGCAGATTCACATGTTGTGAACTTACATGTTAATGAAGTTGACTTGCAACAGTATGTCTTATATGAGTTACAGATCTTGCTAAATTCTAATAACAGTTATTCCTCGCTTTGTGATTATGGTTTGCCTATGCCTCCACCGCATTTGCTTGCAAAATTAAAAAATAAATTGCTCATGGAAGAGAGAAATTATGATAGAGTTTCTCTGACCCAAAAAAAGGAAGTTATGGTGTCTGCGCTTAATTCCGAGCAACATATTATTTATGAGACTGTTATGAAAGCTTCTTTGCAAAACCATCAACTGCTTATGTTTGTTTATGGACATGGTGGTACCGGTAAAACATTGCTTTGGACCGCAATCATTTCTGCGCTCAGGTCTGCTGGGAAAATTGTTTTAGCAGTTGCATCTTCTGGTATTGCATCTCTTTTGCTGCCCTCAGGAAGAACAACACATTCTCGATTCAAGATTCCATTGGACCTTACAAATAACTCCATCTGTAGCATAAGTAAAAACACACAGCTTGCCCGTTTGCTTAGTGAAACTGCACTGATTATTTGGGACGAGGCACCAATGACAGATCGAAGATGCTTTGAGGCATTAGATAAGACACTTAAAGATATACTTAATGAGCCAACGCAGCCTTTTGGTGGAAAATCAGTGCTGCTGGGTGGGGATTTCAGACAAACTTTACCTGTAAAACCTAAAGGGAGCAAGAGAGACATCATAGAGTCATCTATAGTTGAATCGTCGGTATGGAGCCATTTCAAAGTATGTAAATTATCAAAAAATATGAGGCTTCTTCAACCTAATCTGAGTACCAAAGAAAAAGAAGAAATTGCTGCTTTTTCATCATGGTTGTTGCAGATAGGAGATGGACGTGTTGGTGTAGATGATGAAGATGATCCTACTGACACCAAATGGGTAGAGATACCAGAAAAATATCTCATACCAGATCATGAAGATGCTCTTAAGGATTTAGTTCGCTTTATATATGACGAAGACATTTTTCATAATCCAACAGCAACCATGTTCTGTGACAAAGCCATTGTTTGCCCTAAAAAGGAAACTGCAGATGAAATTAACAACCTCATATTGTGTAATCTGCCAGGGAAACCTATTGTTTATCTAAGTTTCGACTCAATTATTCCACATGCGAATGATAGAGGGGATACAGAGGTTCTTTATCCGTCTGAATATTTGAACTTGCTTAACTTCAGTGGTTTCCCTACTCACCGTCTTCAACTAAAAGTTAGTATTCCAATCATGTTACTCCGCAACATGAATCAGATGGAAGGGCTCTGCAATGGAACTAGGATGATTATCACACAGCTTCTACCAAGACTTATTCAGGCAGAAGTCATCACTGGAGTTCAGATAGGCCACAAAGTTTATATACCTCGAATCACTTTGAATCATACTGATAAAGAATTACCATTCGTTTTCAAAAGAAAGCAATTCCCAGTTAGAGTTTGTTATGCCATGACGATCAACAAGAGCCAAGGCCAGTCTTTAAACAAGATAGGAATTTATCTTCCTCATCCAATTTTCAGCCACGGGCAATTGTACGTTGCACTATCTAGGGCTACATCAGCAGCTGGTCTCAAAATACTGATTAAAAGACAAGAGGACCAGCCATCTAATTGTACAAAAAATATTGTCTTCTCAAATTTTTTAGCAAAATTAGAATCTGCACAGGTTGGTAGTTAAACACTTTTGTGATTTATTGCTTAAAATGTTAAAACTTAATGAAAAAATTTACGTAATGACCGTTGTTTCGTACTTAGTATTAGAGTTACTTCACTCAAAAATAACATGTAACTGAATTTTCATTTTTTGGGAAAAAAAATTCCTTATTTGAAGTCCTTCCTATTTTAGGCTGTAGATATGGAGCTTCTTCTTCATTGACTTAAAAAAAATCACATTCCGCAGCAGTAGCACCGATGATGTTGGTAATATTGAAGTTTGAAGATAGAGGTGGAAGGAATCAAACGTTGCAAGGTAATTATGTTACATGATTTTGTATAATATATAAGTAATAGAGAAAAAATGTAACTAAAATATCTTAATGAGTTATGTTTTGAAATTATATAAGTAAAAGGAAAAAAATGGACAGACTTATCAACCCCTCCTATTGCTATTTTGGTTTTTTTTAGTGTTAATGATGTTGCACTCTTCCACATGTTTATATACCCAAGAGAACTTTTTTTTATTTTTTCTTGGCAGTTTTTGCCTTTTTGGTGTTCTACTTTTGATGTACTACAAGAACACATGTCAGAATTATCAAATACAGGTAACCGATTTGTGTCATTTACTTTTTTGCCCTTCATGATTTTGAGTCTTTTTTGGTTTTGGTCCAAAAAATGGTCGCTTTCCCTTTTTACTGTTCGATTTAATTAACCTCATTGACGTGGCTCGCACCTGCACACATGGGCTTTTTGGTCTTTTCCTTCTTTATAATAAAAAATACCTGTGTAAGGCACATAAAAGGGGTAAATAGACCAAAAAATATTATGAAACAGTTAAATAGGGACCAAAAAAGGAAAAAAAAATTGGTTTCTTCTATAAATCATGTTTCTTAAAGTTGTTATGATAATAGAGCAGGGGTCTATGTTTTCTTCTGTTCTGATAAAAGATTTATCAAGCTATGAAGACTTTAGGCTTGATAACTATACAAAAAATAAAAGAAATCTTAATCACGTTTTTTTTATTATTTATTTTTCTATCTTCTATTTTAAACCTTATTACAAAACATTAATAACTAAATGATAAACCTTATAACTTAAATTAGATAACAGAAAATTTAAAAATATAAATTAGATGAAAAAACAACTAAATAACGTTCAAGCCTTATCCCTAAAATCAAAAATTCAATTTATTATCCCTAAAATCAAAAATTCAATTTATAAAAAAAAGGTTTTCGCATATAGCATCAGGCCCAGTACAATGCCCACGCTTCGCTCACTGTTTCCTCTTTCCCTCACGCAATATTCCAGGTACGATAGAACCAATCAGTCTTACCCCTCTTTTCCTCACGCAATCTTCTAGGTACGGTTCTCTTCGATCTCAATTTGGAGATTTCGTGATTTTTCCACCAGCCACTCCTTATTACCAGATAAAACACTTCATGCGATTTCACTTTTTCCACATATCGGCTTCCTGTCTTCCAGGTTAGTTCTCTTCGTTAATTAATTTTGTTGAATCTATGTTTCCAATATATTCATGCCTAATTATCATATCAATATATTAGTCTACAAGTTTTTTTAAATTTTTTTTTTACGGTCTTAGTCTCTGAATTATTAATTCTAATGTGATAATGAAATATATATCCACAACTACATAAACATTGTCTTTTTATACGTATAGGTACTTATAAAGAAAACTTTTAAAAGCTTAAACCGATTTTTTAATGCTTATTTCTGGAACTGCAAGAAATTTTAAACCAACTTTTAAACACTATCCAGGTAACATGATTTTATAGCCCAAAGTTTAAAAGTATGTTGTCAATTGTTGCTTATTTTTTAAAATTTAGTTTAAAATTTCTTGCATTTTTCTGCATTTATATTTTAACTGAATTATACAAATAATCTGAAACAAAGTTACATAAATAGTTCATGTGTAGTAGTAAAGTTACAGAAAGGTTCCATCTAATAGTTAACTTTTAGTCATTAATTATTCAACATCATTTGTGTATAAAAGAGTACCTGTAATAATAAACTTGCAGAAATGATCCCTGTAATAGAAAAAATTCCAATCTTTTATGGGAAAAAAATTAATTGTTGATTTTTCATTTTAATTTGAACTTCACAGATTCTACAAAAATGGATACAAGTATGGTAGCAAACTTAAACCCTGGTGATGGAGACAAGCCAATAGAAATAAAAGTCATTAGGAAATGGTTATCATATGGGAAAAAAGCTGAATGTTGCTACATATTCCTTGATAAAAGTGTGAGTGCCTTCACCATAATATTACATGCAATTGTCAATTATAATCAATTCTATGTTAGATACTTATACATATACATATAAAACCATTCATTTTTGGCAGGGAGATGCAATAGAGGCATGTGGTTGCCTGGGAGATAAAGGCTACTTTGATTCGATAATCAAGATGGATGGTTGTTACTCTGTAAGCAACTATGTGTGTGACAATGCAAATACTTTCTTTGTTACTGTCCCACACAAAACCAAAATCAAGCTAGGCAGGGCAGCAAAATTTGAAGAAATACGTGATGATGGATTTCCTGTGTACTACTTCAATTTTCTTGCATATGGTCAATTAGGTGCAAGGCTTGATAACCATAAGACACTCACAAGTATGTAATACTTATATATATATATATATATATATATATATATATATATATATATATATATATATATATCTTTTAAAATCACAAAATTGTTATATTTGTGTAAAGATTATATCGGAAGAGTTGAAAATGTGTATGAAGTAGTCAGAACTCAAGGAAATGCAATTTTGAAACTCAAACTAGAAAATTTGAGGTATTTTCTATCTCATATATCTAACAAAGACCAAGCATATCATATTTAATATCTGAAATATGTATGTTTAGTGGAACAATGATTGAGACAACTTTCTGGGATGAGGCGGCTAACTCATTTGATAAAGAAGTTATCGAAGCATTACCTTCTCCTGTTATTGTTGCTATTACTTCAATGAAAGTCACACAGTATCTAGGTACATTTTTCTCATTTTATTGTATTGAAGCATTTTACTTTCAAAGTACAATGCTTAATAAAGAAAAACACTTATTTAAAAAGAAAGAGAAATAAAGTTTAAAGTATTATGCTATATTAGAAAATCAGATTAAAGTACATTCCTATTTCTTGCATTTAGCAACATTTATAGAAACTGCCCCAACCTTATTATTTTTGCTTATTTTTCTTTTATTTTGTAATTAACAACATTGTTATGTTGGTTTCTTTAATAGGAAATTTGCAACTGACAGCAACTCCAGCCTCATATATTTACATCAACCCCACTATTCCCGAGGCTGTTGCAATGGCTGCAGAGTAAGTTCTTTATTCATATTTATATAACTTTGTGACATATCTTACAGTTCATTTTCTCTTTTAGGTTTGTCGAACGACATAATCAAAACCCTGTACTCAAGATACAATACCAAAAAAGTAAAGATGTAGAAGTCGAAAAGAAAAGAAACAGGTTTCCATGGTAGACTTGCTATCTCAAAACCCAAACCGTTATGCAGTAAGCCATCAAACCTTCTCTTATCTTAAAATATATATACAAATTTTATAGTTTTAAATTTAATATAGATAATATTACAGGGAGCTCAGTTCACTTGCAAAGCATCTCTGGTTAGCATAGATGCAAGCAAGGGTTGGTTTTATAAAGCATGTCATGAATGTCGTAAAAAACTTCAAAAAAGAGGAAACACACTTGCATGCGAAGATCATGATCAAGTTGCTAAACCAAACAATTTGTAAGTACTATGTTTTTTATGTCAACTAGTTGAGTATATAATCATCTTAACATACATATGTCTAATAATCGTATCAACAGGTTTTTTATCACAGCACACATCGCAGATGAGACCGCTCAAGCAAAGATAGTCTTTTTTGATGCTGCAGCTAGAATGTTGTTCCAAACAGATTGCAACACACTCATTGATCATCATGGATACACTGATCTGTACACATTGCCTGCACCACTCACCATTCTCATAGGCCAGCCAAAAATAATTCAATTCCGATTCGCAAGATTCTGTAGGCCGGGTGCTAAAGACTTTGTAGCAGATGCTGTTTTTGAAGATATAGTTTCTCCAGAAAAAGAAAGTCACACAGAAACAGACATTATCAACCAACCAACTACCTCACCATCATAAAAAAACACCCACTACATCAACTGATCCTCCATCTACTGCTTCTGTTACTCCAGCAAAAGCCTTTCAAGAGCGTCTCACAACATCACCCATCACACCCGCTTCCGCTGAAACTAAACATCACCAAATGAAATCTGTCCAGAAACAACTTTTCCAAACATCATCTGAAGGTACATAAATCTTACTAATCGTTTCTTCTAGAATCTATTTTAGGAATATATATATATATATATATATATATATATATATATATATATATATATATATATATATATATATAACATTTTTTTATTATTTGGAAAATAATATTGAAGGTTTTTGCAGATTCTCTTGACCAAACAGATGGTAAGTCGGTTAAGAAGCAAAAAAAATGTGTTGATGCAGCAAACGTGAACAACAAAACCCGTGTTGGTTCACGAGGAAAAGACAAGTAGTTGTGCTCCATGTCATGCAGTTCAGTAAGGTATATCTGTAATATCATGGATTGTCTATCAATTATTCAGTATTTCCTATATTCAATATTTATTTATGCTTTTTGAACAATGTCACAGGAAATATGATTAACTTTTGAGGCTCTGCCATATTTTCTACAAAAACTTTGGAGAGCTGGCGTGCTATGTAAAAACGTTTGGGACAGTTGTCGCTGCGATATTTTGTTACATCATGGGTTGTTACTACCGTGTATTTTGTTGAAACCTTTTGAAGAACTGCTACTTTTGCCCCTTTTGAAGAACTGCTACTGTTGCCATTACTTAAAATATGTTGAATATCAATGTCCCTTCTAAATATGTCTACAACTATGTAAAGTTGTTTATGTAAATATGTTTATTCAGCTTTTATTTATATTATCAGTGTTATATCTTTTTGCTTAACCATTTAACAAATTTAACATACCAAAATACATAATTCATACACTTTTCATCAAAAAATTTAAATAAATTTTATTAAACAATGTGAAACTTAAACTTCATTGCTTAAAGTACCGCCGCAACGCGCAGCCATAAAACCTCGTTAGCTCACAATATATCACACAAAGGACCCTAAACTGTACAAGAAACAAAATGAATGGATATAATTTAATACACTCCCTCAGTTTGAACACGGGGTTTATAAAATTTCAAACTTTACCAAAAATTTAAAAATAACTTAGTAGAAAGTCCATTTGTAAATATGTCTGCAATAGAACAAACAAAACACACATATGTCTAATGGCAACACGCTCCTAACAAAATATAAATCTATTTTCAAATGTTTGGTTCATTGGTGTTGAACCGGATTGGAAGCTAAATATATGACACTCACATTGTCGCAAAACACAACCGTCAACCCGTCACTTTAGACAATGGACAAGATAACTCTAAAAGAAGATTATGAAGCCAAGTAGCTTCATCAACGATATGTTCTATCATCTTGTACTCAGCTTCAACCGAGAGACAACATTTTGACGTTTAGATGACCACTAAATGAGATTATCGCCAAGATAGACACAAAACCTGGAAGTAGACAGGCGAGTTTGAGAACACCTAACCCAGTCAAAATTAGAGTAGGAAACCAAGCGGTCAATAGAGGACGGAAAAAGAGACAGACCATACGTAATGGTACCCTGAATGTAGCGAATGATATGCTTTAGGGAAGAAAATGTGGTTCATAAGGATCATGCATGAAGAGATAAAGTTGTTGAACTACGTAGACAATGTCTGGTCGAGTGAAGGTAAGATATTTCAACCCCCTACAAGACTTCTATAGAAAATGAGATCAACCGTCGAAGAGCCATTGGGAGAAAGCTTAGGTTATGTATCTATCGAAGTGTTATATGGGTTGCACGAGGACTGTTAAGCGTATGGGATGATTTTTTTGGTAAGGGCAGTTGCGGAGAAGAAAATACCATTGTCAGTCCGTGAAGAAGCAATGCCTAAAAAGAATGAAAGATGTTATAAGTTCATCATAGGGAACTCATATGACTATCATGAAATAACATGTGTGATGACCGCGGATGAGGATGTTGTGACAATAATATTATCAAAAATAGAGAACAAGATGGATATGATCAGATCTACGGTGGTAAGTGAACAACAAGTAGTGGGAATGACTGTTTTAAACCAAAGTGAGGTAATAAAGACAACAAATTATTGGTACCACGCACGTGATGCCTCGTTGAGACCATAAAGAGCCATGCACATAAAGCAAAATTGCTAAGAAAGTATGGATGAACACAACTAGGAGGTTGTTTCATATAAACCTCCTGAGATAGATCATCATATAGGAAATCATTTTTTACATATAACTTATTGATGGTCTGACTTTTGGAGATGGCAATACTAATCACAATATGAACACTCACATATTTGACAACATGACTTAAGGTGTCATCAAAGTGAAGACCATGTTGTTGCAACAAACCCTGAGTGACAAGGTGGCCTTTGTAGCGCTCAAGCTTGCCAAAACTTTCAAACTTATGGTGATAAAGCTAGCAAAAATTAATGATGGTGTCATGAGATGGGAGAGAAACAATATCCTTTGTTTTATTTAAGGTAAGAGTAGAAATTTCACTGTCTATTTCAAATTTCCAATGTGGATCACATAGACCTTGAGTAGTAGACCAGGGGATATGAGAGGCATATGAGGTTATAGAAAGATTAAAATTTTGAGGATGTTTCAGATAAACAGTTTTAGAACGGGTGGTTATAAGATGAGCAGAGGGTAAAGGGGGAAGGGGAGGAAGAGGAGAGATGAAAATTATCTCAGGAGGTAGGCATGTCATGGTTATGAGAAGGGGTGTTGGTGGTGACTATAGTGCTATTCGATGGAGCAGTAGTGGCAGAGACAACCAAGACATGGGAAGGGATAAAGGGTGCATGGAAGGATAGTCATAAGAGATAAACAACTCATTATCTGATGGTAGAGGAAGATCATGAAATATAAGAATGGAAAATGATCTTCATCAAAGGTAACATGACAAAATATAAGAACATGTTGTGTGTCACACCCCAAAACCGAGAACGGCGGAAACGTTCCGGGGTGGAGGACGTCATGTAAAGTATCACAACAATGTAAAGTAGTAAACAAGCGACAACATCATCCATTGCATTAATAGTATAATTTTGAATTACAAGTGTGTTCTTTCATAACATAAACAACATAATAAATACTCAAAATAAAAGACGAGTCTTGACTGCTTCGTCTTCTCTAAACCTTGCATCGGTACTTGTCTAACTGTGACCTGAGAATACAAGTTATTTTGAAAGCGAGTATCAACAATAAAGCTGGTGAATTCATAAGTATTTTAGTGTCATTTCTTGTGGAAAGTTGTTATGAAAGATTCGTAAAAGTTTGAGAAAGCAGCTTTGTATAAGTGTGAAAACCCTAGAAAATCCCATATTTCCTACTAGTATAAAAAGTAGTCTTCTACCAAGACTCATGTGTTTTAAAAGTATGAACCTCTACGTAAGAGAAAGTTTTACCTTGTACAATTATTATTATTCAAATCTAATCTACCTCATCGATTATGCGAACGTGACGCAAAGTAAAGGTAATAAGGTAAATAATATAATAATAGAGAGTGTATCCTTTTGCACTAGGATAATCACGGCGTGGAAACTCGCCGAACAGTACACCCATAACTATGTGATTGTTACACACAGTAAGGGTAATGATATCCTTGGGTACTAGGATATTCACGGCGTGGAAACTCGCCGAACAGTACAACCGTAGCCATCTGCCGATGTGCATTTTCCCTACTGTAGTTGACAGCCTTGGGTGCGGAATGGTAAGTCCCGTAGTGGTATCCTTGGGTACTAGGATATTCACGGCGTGGAAACTCGCCGAACAGTACAACCGTAGCCATCTGCCGATGTGCATTTTCCCTACTGTAGTTGACAGTCTTGGGTGCGGAATGGTAAGTCCCGTAGTGTATATAATAGAGTCTACTCATACAATATGTAATAGTATCTAAGCATATAGAACCTATGTGATCGTATCTATGTACAAGTATCCATGTAATAGTATCTCTACAAACAACATGTATTCGTATAGACTCATGAATGAACTGACTCAGGTGTGATTCCTTGTGCTAGGAATGGCAAGTAGTATCTCCTAACTATACCTATTATAGTTACTAGTAATGTACGAATATATTCGGAAGTATACCTTTGCTACCCAAAGGTACTGAATTGACTGATGGAACTTTTATGACTATATATGTATACATGATATATAACTGATATTTAGACGACCTTCGGACGGATAACCGATACCCATCAAACCACATCCCAACGAGGAAAAGGAAACAAGGCGAGCTAGCCGTTCTAAGTCCTTTAAACATTACTTATATAACTATACATGTGTAGGCATGTATTTAACAATATAAAAGTATAAAAGAAGTCTTGTAAAACCTTTGAAAAGTTTAATAACAAAGAAAGGATGACTTGGTGTTAGTTTATAAAACGATTTGAAAACGGTTTGATAAGTCAGTTTAAGTGATGAAAACCTTTGTTGAAACACAGCTGTAACAGATTTTGAAAGGAAGTATACAGAGTGTAAGATAGTTTGATAAAGAGATTTAAACTAGTAAAAAGGTTTTAGAAAGCCATTTAAAGTAATATATTTGGTAAATGTGAAGCGAATATCTCACAAAGTCATTAACGAATTTACGTGTAACGTAATGAAAATCCCTTTTGTATAAATGTACCCTTTTGAAATGTATGTATTATATAATGTATCATAAACTATACCTATTATAATTTATCAAAACAAGGGTAGTAGTAGTAATGTATGTAACTATACTTAACATAGTTTATCCAAATGTTTGTATGTAATGGATGTACTTTGATTATAACAATTTGTTATTTCTATGCTTTATCTAGCAAAATCCATTTGTTAACTGTTGTATGTCCTTATACTAAGACAAAATGTAATATAATGCAATAACATATAATCACATAAAGATATACACCTTGCTCAACATGTTACAAGGTGTAGTGAAATTGATAGCATTTTTCTGTTGT